TTGTCTTTGATCTTTGCCATTTTAATTATTATGTGTCTTGGTGTTGCCCTCCTTGGATCCCTTGTCATGGGAGTTCTGTGTACCTCTGTGGTCTGAGAGGCCTTTTACTCCCCTAGTTTGGGGAAGTTTTCAGCAATTATTTCTTCAAAGACACTTTCTATCCCTTTTTTCTCTCTTCTTCTTCTTCTGGTACCCCTATAATACGGATATTGTTCCAGTTTGATTGGTCACTCAGTTCCCTTAAAATTCTTTCATTCCTGGAGATCCTTTTATCTCTGTCTGCATCAGCTTCTCTGCGTTTCTGTTCTCTGTTTTCTAGTCCATTAATGGTCTCTTGCATCTCTTCCATTCTGCTTTGAAGTCCTTCCAGAGCTTGTTTTATTTCTGTATTCTCCCTCCTTAGTTCTTGCATATTTCTCTACAAGTCCATCAGCATGGTTATGACTTTTGTTTTGAATTCTTTTTCAAGAAGACTCCTTAAATCTATCTCCCCCAGTTCCTTCTCAGGGGAAGATGTAGCAGATGTCGAAGCTGTCTGGGTTATTCTTGTCTGGATCAAATTTTTTTGCTTTTTCATGTTGATAGTTGCTATGGTAAGCTATTTACTTTCTGTCAGCTGGGAGGGCCAAGGCTTTCCACTAGCTCCTGGCCTTTCTTCACTGGGTCAACTGCAACCCCTGGTGGCTTGTGTTGGGCAATTGAGTGTTGACTGGGTCTCTGTATCTTGCCCGGTAGGTATGGAGGAAGCTCCCTTGCTGTGGGTGTGGCCAGCCTCAGGCTGCTGCTCTGCTATGGCGGGGCCCCAGAGGGGTAATGGACAGGGGACTGTTTGGCTGTTTACCTCTGTGAGGGGTCTCAGAGCTGTTGCCCAGGGGGTTAGTGCACCTGGGGTTCCGTGGAATTTCCAGCCGCTGGACTGTGACACGGGAAGCTTCCATCCAGCTGTGGCGTCCATGTCCCTATTAGAGTTTCAAAAAGTACTCGCTTTTCTTTTTCACAGGGGCGCTGGCTTCGGGACCCGCTCAAAGGTCTTGCTGTCCTATTTCCCTAGTTTCCAGCACTCCATGCATGCACTGTATCTGCACTCTGGTACGGATGGCTAGGGCTGGGTGTTTAGCAGTCCTGGGCTCCCTCTCCCTCCCCACTCTGACTCCTCTCCTCCCGCCAGGGGCTGGGGTGAGGGGCGCTCGGGTCCCGCCGGGCCGGGGCTTGTATCTTACCCTTTTCACCAGGCGCTGGGTTCTTGCAGATGTGGATGTAGTCTGGCTGTTGTCCTTTGTCTTCTGGTCTCTCTTTTCGGATTAGTTGTATTTGTTGAATTTTCAAAAATATATGTTTTTAGGAGGAGATTCCCACTGTCCTACTCACGCCGCCATCTTGGCTCCGCCACTAGTCCCACTAATTTTCTTGAAGACATTTCCTTGAGCAGGTTTTACTTGGTGACTCTGGTAAAATTTTTAGGTAAAAGACCTCACATCGCCTCAGCAGACATTTTTCCCTTCCCACACCTAACCTGAAGTCAGTGAAGGAAGTCATGTAACAAGACCAGTTTCGTTCTAGGTTCCAGAAAAGCTCAAGTTTCTCAATAGCTCAGATCAAAAAGGAGACCTCAGATTTAGGCAGAACTAATCTAAATGACAGAATCAGTTCCAGAAGCATCTCAGGTTTTATTAGGGTCAGTAAACCTTTTTTAGGTTAGGCAGGCTCCTATAGGCCTCAGTATAGGGCATATGGCACTTGGTCAGTCTTGTATTTGCATAAGTAAAATGTTTTCTTCCCCTTTCCTAACTCTTACATGATTATTCGTGTATAAATTCCTAAAATAGGACCCAGGAACAAACTACCATAGCAAGGGTTTCTAAAGTTGGCTCCATCCCAGTCCCACTGAATTCAAGTCTCTGGGGATAGATGGTCCTGGAAGCCTTTTTAAAAATGCTTTTGTGAGTTCCTCTGCATGATGACGTACAAGAACTTCTGCAGTAGAACAACTATATGAGTGCATAAAAGGGAAAGAGAAAGAAATTTCAGCAAGCAGAGGCAAGCAAGATTGGAATTTGAGGATTTAATACTAATGGGTGAATAAGATTTTTTTTTAAACAGGTCACCGGGGAGGGATCATGAACACCTTTGCTTCAGTAACTCCATCTTCAGCTAGGCTGGCTGCATCAGTGTGCTGATACTTTCTTCTATCTCTGAGAGCTTCTTCAGAACTTGGTTAACCTTGACTTCATCAAATTCCAAACACAGAAATTCAGATTCCTGGAAAACATAAATGGATGTTTTAGAAGAGCCCCTCAAGGTAGCCAAGGCTGTGGATCTGGCATGAATCAACTCTAGAGGCTCAAGGCCACTACCCAGGCAAGCCTTACTTAAGCCTCAACACCTAATAATATTTTACCTAGCAAAGCAAATCCACACAATGCCCAAAATGAACATATTTCTATGAGGTGTTTCATAAATGGTAAAGGAGTATACAAATGTCAGTTATTTTCATAAAGAAACATGGAAGAAGTTCAAATCAAGAACATTTGATCGCATGATAATTTTTAAGGTAAGTACTTAAGTATTGCTGTTTTATAGATGATGACCCTTGGGTATAAAGAGATTAACCTGTAACACAAAATGAGAAAAAGGCAGAGTGAGATTGTAAATGCCCAGCTCTAGCTGACTCCAAAGTCCATGCTGTCTCCAAAGCACCCTGTAGAACAATGATGGAAGGAGGGTTTGCACTGGCCTCCATGTTAGCCTGGGAACTGGGCTTCTGTGGATTTAAGAGTTAATTAGAAATTGTGACAAGTTGTGACCAAGTTGCTTGGGAAACATCAGATAATTGAAACAGCCTTCTTGTGCCTTCTGCTTGCTGCAAGCCCAATCTCCCAAGATTTCTCTCAGACACACTCCCTTCAATCACTGTTATGGTCAGTAGGATCAGTCAATCAACCCTAGATTAAGTAGATATCAAAGAAAAAGGCTTCTGAAGTGTGGTGATAGAAATTTCACATACATCAGACAATGCTTAGGTCCACATTTTTCTCAAAAGACAGGGAAAATTTTATGTATTAAGAGTGACTATATTCAAGACCCTTAAGGACAATAATCATGTAATTTTAGAGCCCTATGAATTGTTTTTCTTTTGTTATGTTTTATTTTTATTTACCTATGGTATCATTAATACACTTACATGAACAACATTGTGGTTACCAGATTCCCCCCACTATCAAGTCCCCACCACATACCACATTACAGTCACTGTCCATCAGCATAGTAAGATGCTATAGAATCACTACTTGTGTTCTCTGTGTTACACTGCCTTCCCCGTGCCCCCCCACATTATGTGTGCTAATCGTAATACCCCCTTTTCCCCCTTATCCCTCCCTTCCCAACCATCCTCCCCAATACCTTTCCCTTTGGCAACTGTTAGTCCATTCTTGGGTTCTGTGAGTCTGCTGCTGTTTTGTTTCTTCAGTTTTTTTCTTTGTTAGTACACTCCATATATGAGTGAAATCATTCGATACTTGTCTTTCACTGCCTGGCTTATTTCACTGAGCATAATACCCTCTAGCTCCATCCATGTTGTTGCAAATGGTAGGATTTGTTTTCTTCTTATGGCTGAATAATATTCCATTGTGTATGTGCACCACATCTTCTTTAGTCATCGACTGATGGACACTTAGGTTGCTTCCATTTCCTGGCTATTATAAATAGTCCTGCGATAAACATAGGGGTGCATCTGTCTTTTTCAAACTGGGTTCCTACATTCTTAGGGTAAATTCCTAAGAGTGGAATTCCTGGGTCAAATGGTATTTCTACTTTGAGTTTTTTGAGGAACCTCCATACTGCTTTCCATAATGGTTGAATTAATTTACATTCCCACAAGAAGTGTAGGAGGGTTCCCCTTTCTCCACATCCTCGCCAACATTTGTTGTTTGTCTTTTGGATGGTGGCCATCCTAACTGGTGTGAGGTGATATCTTGTTGTCATTTTAATTTGCATTTCTCTGATGACAAGCGATGTGGAACATCTTTTCATGTGCCTGTTGGCCATCTGAATTTCTTCTTTGGAGAAGTGTCTGTTCAGATCCTCTGCCCATTTTTTAATTCATTCATTTGCTTTCTGTTTGTTGAGGTGTGTGAGTTCTTTATATATTTTGGATGTCAACCCCTTGTCAGATATGTCATTTATGAATATATTCTCCCATACTGTAGGATGCCTTTTTGTTCTATTGATGGTGTTCTTTGGTATACAGAAGCTTTTCAGTTTGACATAGTCCCACTTGTTCATTTTTGCTTTTGTTTCCCTTGCCCATGGAGATATGTTCATGAAGAAGTTGCTCATATTTATATTCAAGAGAATTTTGCCTATATTTTCTTCTAAGAATTTTATGGTTTCATGACTCACATTCACGTCTTGGATCCATTTCGAGTTTACTTTTGTGTATGGAGTTAGACAGTAATTCAGTTTCATTCTCTTACATGTAGCTGTCCAGTTTTGCCACCACCAGCTGTTGAAGAAACTGTCATTTCCCCATTGTATATCCATGGCTCCTTTATCGTATATTAATTGACCACATATGGTTGGGTTAATATCTGGACTCTCTATTCTGCTCCACTGGTCTGTGGCTCTGTTCTTGTGCCAGTACCAAATTGTCTTGATTACTGTGGCTTTGTAGTAGAGCTTGAAGTTGGGAAGAAAGATCCCTCCTACTTTATTCTTCCTTCTGAGGATTGCTTTGGTTATTCAGGGTCTTTGGTGGTTCCATATTAATTTTTAAACTATTTGTTCTAGTTCGTTGAAGAATGCTGTTGGTATTTTGATAGGGATTGCATTGAATCTGTAGATTGCTTTAGGCAGGATGGCCATTTTGACAATATTAATTCTTCCTAGCCAAAAGCATGGGATGAATTTCCACTTATTAGTATCCTCTTTAATTTCTCTTAGGAGTGCCTTGTAGTTTTCAGGGCATAGGTTTTTCACTTCCTTGGTTAGGTTTATTCCTAGGTATTTTATTCTTTTTGATGCAATTGTGAATGGAATTGTTCTCCTGATTTCTCTTTCTGTTGTTAGTGTCTAGGAATGCAACAGATTTCTCTGTATTAATTTTGTACCCTGCAACTTTGCTGAATTCAGATATTAGATCTAGTACTTTTGGAGTGGATTCTTTAGGGTTTTTTATGTACAATATCATGCCATCTGCAAACAGTGACAGTTTGACTTCTTCCTTACCAATCTGGATGCCTTTTTTTTCTTTGTGTTAGATTGCCGTGGCTAGGACCTCCAGTACTATGTTGAATAAAAGCAGGGAGAGTGGCTATCCTTATCTTGCTCCCAATCTTTGGGGAAAAGCTTTCAGCTTCTCACTGTTCAGTATGAATTTGGCTGTGGGTCCGTCATATATGGCCTTTATTATGTTGAGGTACTTGCCCTCTATACCCATTTTGTTGAGAGTTTTTATCATGAATGGATGTTGAATTTTGTTGAATGTTTTTTCAGCATCTATGGAGATGATCATGTGGTTTTTGTCTTTCTTTTTGTTGATGTGGTGGATGATGTTGATGGATTTTCGAATGTTGTACCATCCTTGCATCCCTGGGATGAATCCCACTTGGTTATGGTGTATGATCCTTTTGATATACTGTTGAATTCTGTTTGCTAATATTTTATTGAGTATTTTTGCATCTACATTCATCAGGGATATTGGTCTGTAATTTTCTTTTTTGGTGGGGTCTTTGCCTGGTTTTGGTATTAGGGTGATGTTGGCTTCATAGAATGAGTTTGGGAGTATTCCCTTCTCTTCTATTTTTTGGAAAACTTTAAGGAGAATGGGTATTATGTTTTCTCTGTATGTCTGATAAAATTCTGAGGTAAATCCATCTAGCCTGGGGGTTTTGTTCTTGGATAGTTTTTTGATTACCGCTTCTATTTCTTTGCTCGTAATTGGTCTGTTTAAATTTTCTGTTTCTTCCTTGGTCAGTCTTAGAAGGTTGTATTTTTCTAGGAAGTTGTCCATTCCTTCTAGGTTTTCAAGCTTTTTAGCATATAGGTTTTCATAGTATTCTCTAATAATTCTTTGTATTTCTGTTGGGTCCGTCGTGATTTTTCCTTTCTCGTTTCTGATTCTCTTGATGTATGTTGATTCTCTTTTTCTCCTAATAAGTCTGGCTAGGGGTTTGTCTATTTTGTTTATTTTCTCAAAGAACCAGCTCTTGGTTTCATTAATTTTTTCTATTGTTTTATTCTTCTCAATTTTATTTATTTATTCTCTGATTTCTATTATGTTCCTCCTTCCCTGACTTTGGGCTTCATTTGTTCTTCTTTTCCCAGTTTCAATAATTGTGAATTTAGACTATTCATTTGGGATTGTTCTTCCTTCTTTAAATATGCCTGGATTGCTGTATACTTCCCCCTTAGAACTGCCTTCACTGCATCCCACTGAAGTTGAGGTGTTGACTATGAATTCTTAAAGATCATATAAACCAACTGGCTTGTTTTTTAGATAATGAAATTGAGGCCCCAGAGCATGTTAAATGACATGCCTATTGTCCAGCTATTGATGCAGAGCCACCAGATCAATGCTCTTTTCTCTAAATTTTCCTCTCTAAATACATGGCATTTTCCACCTTCATTCCCAAAGTGGCAGATACAAAGGACAACCAATAAGCTTCTTCAGAGGGAGGGAATAACTCTGTCATCAACTAGAACCCTTGGGAGTTGATTTTGGAAAAGTAAGTTTGCTGTTGCTAAGCTGCTTTGCTGAGTCTATACTGATGCCACTAAACATTCCCCAGGAGAAACAAGTGCAGAGGGAAAGAAGGGACCTCTCGGATGAAAGTCTTCTAAAGAAAGGAAAGGCAGCATTCCCCTCAAACATGTATTTAGATAGGAGAGCGGTATCATCTTTTGTGAGCTCAGAAACTGCCAGGTTACATTTAGTCAAAATTAAAAAGCAATTAAAAAAAAAAGATGCTCCCTTTCTTGAGCTGCAGGAAGGATTATATCCTTTTGGAAAGAAGAGCATATTTATGGCAAATTAGGCAGTTCGCGTGGCTAGATTAAGAACAGATCTTAGATCTGAAAGCATCTTATTCATTTTTTAGGCATTTTATTTTGGAATTTTATTTATATAAAATATTATATTGTTAGGGTCCAGGACTCTGGGGTTTCCCAGTGAACAAGACACATGGACATGGAGATGAAAATCCAAGCAAAGTCTTTATTCAGCCAGCAAGCTGGGGTCGACAGCACCTCCCCTGACACACAGG